TAATATGGGGGTACATACATACATATACCGATACCCCCGAAAAGGAAGGGGGTCGTAAAAATTTTGGAATTTGCGCAACGCAGGGTTGACCCTGCGCCCTTCCTGGTTAGCGCTCATTTTAACCCTGGTTCGAGCCTGAGACTGAGAGTAACACCAAATGAGCTGTACTCGACCACGAGGGTGACGTATAACGCAAAGAATCCAAAGTTCAAGAATGTAATAATTCCGTAAGCTGCGAAGGAGTGCAGAAAAGTGGAGTGACTGTACTATTATTGTCCAATGCTCCCTCCAAGTCTCTTGAATCAGTCTTAGCCAGGCTGTGGTAACCTTCAAGATGTTACTTCTTCAACACTTACAATGAAAGTGGAGGAACTCTGAAAAATGCGATAAACTTTGCAATCAAGGGCAAGTGGTTCGTGATGTGAAATGTATCAGGTGCGTGTAGTATTCCAAACGGGAAAAACCGTCGTCGGTGGCCGGTTCTTCCCCCACTCCACCCCTCCTTCTGAAGCGCTGATCCTCCGATCTCGTTCCTTTTCAGTAGTTTTCTCATTCCCTTTCCAATATCTGCGGTGCCTGCTCCAAGCCTACACACTTTCTCCTCCCCCCTTCTTCCCGCTCCCGCGAATTCCTTTCAAAGCGTGAGAGGTAGGACCAACCGATTTCCAAAATTGACCAACGAGGGGAACGTATTGGGACTGCTTGGTAGGGTCATGTGTGTGGTTTTGCCTATTTGTGATTGTGGTAAAGTGAATCGTGTTTGAGAGTTTCATAGATGGTCACTTATGATGGCGGATATTGAGGAGTCGTGTTGCGATGGAGAGAGAATGGGGTTCGTTTTTGATGTGGGCTTTTTGACAATTTTGGAGAAATGTTTATGAGAGAGGCAAAATTGGAGCATAGTTTACATATACTATACACCGTTTCTGAGGCCTTGCTCTTTCCCGTTCCCCCCCCCCCCCCCACCTGTTATCGACGGTTTTGGTGGAGGATATATGAGGCGGAGTTGAATATCTTATCTGACTTCAAAGAGGATCAATTGTCGCATTTAGACAATTTCAAAATTTTCACGACCCTCTCTCCCCAAAGGGAGCTCAATAGAGCTCCTCACTTCAAATTATTGAGCTATGAGGAATTCGAGGTGCACCGGTATTTCTAGTATAATGTAAGATCACCGGTCTCACTAGAGTTTACACCCAGTTTCTTTCAACGGCAGAGAGACCCGTGACGTAATTTTCAAACTGACATACTTCCTCGAAATATGACAGTTCAAAGAAGTTTGGAAAGGATTGTTGTCTACGATGCATCTGCTCTAAAAAATTCCCAATATCATCTGGAAAGTTGGAAGATTCGTTTGTTATGAAACGGAAAGTTGAAATTTCGGCACTGCGATGCAACCAGTCAGTAATTCTTTATTTCAAGAGCCACGAGTTCCCTTGAAGGCAGGCTTTTGCCGTGATGTAAGACGATTCGGAGAGTTCGAATAATTGTCACTCCACTAACCATGTTCAATTCTGAAAGTTTATTTTTTTTCAAAAAAATCGTCCGCTTCATGGATTTAGGATTTTGGATTCCATGGATTTCATTCACGAAAAAGGAGCCTGTGTAAATCTCGTCGTTCAGCGACAAACATCTCCTTTGGTGGGAAGAATCGTCGAACACTATCCTCACTTCGGACTCGGATAGAATTGTGTTGCAGGAAACAGTTTCGCAGGGGAACGAGATGCTTTTTTTCCTGCCAACCATGACCGTAGGCTGCTAGTCCGAAAATAGTTTGTGCTACTCAAAGGCCGTTAGGTAGCTGTATTGGAGAATCGAATTTGTTGACGAATAAGCTGTAGAGGTCGATCCTTATGAATGTGAGCAACTTGTTGTTCTCCCTTCATTCGGGTATTTGTCAAGTAGATGTTATTTTCTTTCATAAATTTTTCATAATTTCTCCGATGTCCAATCAAGAAAGGTAATCCGAAAAGAAGCCTGATTTTATAGAGGCTTTATTATCATCGGAGATTCTATCTCTCGTCCTTTAGCCGACTGAAGGTTCAGCAACGCGTGGTACGACAAAAAGGTTTCACATGTGCCGCTGATGCCGGATAAATTGCACTGCTCGATTTCTATAAGTGGCAGTGCAAGGTGATCCGCTGAGTTCTTCTTGAATAAAGCCCACGAGGAGTGGTCATTTGGCCAGTTCGGTCATTTTTAATGAAGTGTAGTGTATTTCGATGCACGCGTCTTGCGACGCTGAGCTCAAATCCGTTTTCGATATCTGCGGAACGATTCTCTGAAAGAAGTTACGAGAGGATTCTTCTCACTGTGGCTCCTTCTACATTCCCTACACCTCTTGGTTCGCCTGAGAAGAGCCGGAGAATACACAGATCAACTGGCAAATTAAGGTAGTGGGTAGCTCGCTTACTTCCTACTGGAGGTGTCCTATGCTCCTTAGGCCTAATAAGTTTTGCTTTTTTCGGGGTCCCTCATAAGAGTCCAGAAAGTGTTGATTTTTGTTTACCCTCTCCTTTGATAAAGTCACAAATTGTGCGGTGCAAACCAAACACCACAACTGACGACGGCCTCCAAGTAAATTCGGTTAGTGGTGGCCGTCGTCACTTGTGGTTTATGGTCTGCACCAAATACTTACTGGATTTTTGAAGGGGAGGGCATTTTGCCGACGCTCCCTACTTGACACATAAAATAGACTCTGAATCTCCTCTTCGTGCTTCATTTAAAAAGTTTTTTTATTATGATGAAACTTCACACGGAAGGCTCATGAATATACAAAATTTTTATACTCTATGAGCAAAACATTGTATAACACAAAGAGGCACCAAAATTTATTTCAAAAGAATTCCAAAAGTTCACAAAATTCAAAATTCCAAAAATTCAAAAGTTCCAAAAAAGCAAGAAAAGTTTGAAAAAGAATTCCTTTGAAATCTTCCGCGATATTTCGGTGTTTAACACCTTCTTCAGGCCTGAAATACATTGATTATAAGTAGATATAATTAATTTGGCGGTTTTCAACACCCATATTGATACCCACATGTGTTTGCCACTGCGGAGCATAAAGCTGCCCTTATAAAGGTGAGGTGGAATGAAATAGCTCACCCCTCACCGTCTGGTTAAAGACGCTAGGTTCTGGGGTTCAGAGGGGACGAGGGGGTCCTCAATGGTACGTCAGTGGCGAAAGAAGCAGCGAAATCCGTTCAGGAAACGAGAAATGGGACCCCCTTTTGTAGCCGTTGATTGCGGCTCTCAGATGGACTGCGGCGAAGACCGCGCACGCGTGGACGAGATTACGCAACGCGTGCTGGCACAGGGCAAACACAAACAGCAGGCATGGCGCCCTAACCGCGCCGCGGCTGGCAACGCAGCTCGCCCAAGCCACCGGTGAATCAGTGGGCGTCACGTCGCTGGGGGCGGGGCGTCGCGCGGGTCCTGCTCAGCAACCACAGCACCTTTCGCCGTGGGAGCGCCACACATCGCTTCCTTGGCAGCCAAGTAATTGCTCCGTGTGGCGCAGGTTCTCCCCCGATGCGAAAATTCCTTATCGTAATCGCTTCCTTTCAAATATTCTACGGTCATTGCATGCGATATTAAAAGTTACGTGGCATTGGGCAGGTGGCTAATTCAAAAATTGTAGAGCGTCACGTAGTTCGTCTTACTATTTATTTCGGAGTGATAGTTTTCTTATTTCTAATGCCTCCAATAGTTTCCTTTCCACCGGGCTCTATGGAGCGGTGTAATACCTAATGGTCAATGTGGGGGGGTTCCTCCATAGGCGTGTTTTTTGGTGCGGTGCTTGGAGAAGCTGCTGTTTGGATAAGAGGCTGGGTTTTGTAACGCTCTTCGGTGCTCATCCAAGCGCTTGTAAAGAGGCCTTTTGATTCCCCAACATATTTTGTCCGCATCCTTAACATTCCATTAGATATACGGTACCCCTCCAGGTGAGCAGATGCTTGAGATTAGGCGGTGGACGAAATATAAGACGTATGGGGAGCTTTGACTCTGACCACACTATTAACTTTTTGTGCCGTACTCTCGTTTAGATACGGCATTACCATGGGAACACCATCTGGTGTTGAATGTGGTCTCTATTTCTCTATATGTAGAATGTAGTAAAGAGATGTGCCGTTTCGTAGCCATTGTCCCTCAAGATTCGGTCCACCGCGACATCTACTTCTTCCCATCTTTGTGTGCATACTTTTTCTTTTGTTTTTAACAAATTGCGAACTACGTTCGCTTTCATATGAGGGGTGGCAGCTTCTGGCATGTAATAGTACATTTTGTGACGCTGGTTTCCTATACCAACAACTTATGAGCACTTGTGATAGTCGTTCACAGAATGGTCGAAACAAAATAGCTTTTTGCAGTGCATACAGCGTATAAAGAAAGTCTCTGGGGAATGTAGAGGGCGCCACAGCAAGAAAGCCACTGTGAGAAGAACCCTCGTAACTCTCTTAAAGAATCGTTTTGCAAATATCGAAAACGGATTTGAGCTCAGCGTCGCAAGACGCGTGCATCGGACTACACCTCATTACGGACGGCCGGATCGGCCCATTGTCGATTCCTCGTCAGTTAGGCTCCTGCGTCAAAGAAAAATAGAGTTCTCTGATACTGCCTGAAGCACGATTATACTTGATCCCTTCTGCTGTCATCAGCACAAGTTATTCTATTGCTGTTTGAGTATTGAACTTCTCTGGAATCGTCGGCTTGTCTCCGATGAACAAGTAGCGTTGAACCTATTCCGCTAGTGCGAAAATGTTGGTAGTGAGTTGCTTGTCAACATCGACTTTTGTATTGCCCTCACCGCTTTCAGGATTGATCTGTAAGGAGCTTTGCGCCACATGACCTTCATTTGTTTGAGACCTCCCGGAAGGTTCGCTGCTGGCTTGTTTTTGCATGCAAATAGACTCATCATGCGATTGTCCGCAGCGCTTGCAGTGTGGTCGTCAGTACTCCTTACTCTTGCGATCTTTTAAGAAACATTTCCACCATAAGTCCTTGACAACTACAACTTTCTGCGTGCACTTGCATGTTTTACATCTCGACACCTTATGAGATCAGTGATTTGTTCTTTGACAAAAAATGCCAAAATAACGTACAAATCGTTCGCCTTCTTTTCTCACATGAGAACTTTGCTCCGTCGTATCTGTATAATTGTGAGCAGGCGTTCCGGGATGTGTGTGACACGTACAATGATTGCATCTAACTTATTAAAATCTCTCCAACAGTACCTGATCTTCTGTTTGATCTCTGAGCAGTTCCACCACTATAAGCCGAAGAAACTGAGTATACTAGTATCAATCTACATTGGATCCTAAGTATCACAGATCTTCCAGCGCTGGAGGATATCACCTCATTTAACCCATTGCGGACCGCCGTTATAATTGCACCTCCGTAGGTTTTTGTCATCTGTTTATCAGTGGCCAATGATCTATCAAAAATTTAACCAGTATGCAAATAAGTGATATATCCTGTGTCCAAAAAGTAAACTGATGATTTTGTAACTTAACAAAATGCTGAAAAAATCGAAGATTACTGTCCTTCTCCGCGTGGTGGCGTGCTGCACCATGTGCAGCACGCGGTCCGCAATGGGTTAACAAAGACCGGGTTTCATCTATAACGTTATCCCTCCGCACGACGATGAGCAGGGTCAAGCGAACCGTCGAGGAAAATTTGGAAATACGACCCCCCCCCTTCTCTCCAGAGGCCGAAGTCCATGAAACGACCCTCTTCAAAAGCCGAACTATGAAAAGGTTGTTTAATTCTCCCCCAAAACTGTTCATAAAAAAGCCCTGCTACCCCACCGTCCACCAAAAAATTCGTTTAAGAAGTACAAAAGTGAAAAAGTCAAAGAATGATCATTATTGATGAGTCCTACCAAACGAGCAAACGAGAAACGGAGCAAAAACGACAAACTAGTCACTAAAAATGGCACTATGACAACATCTCTTCTTTATTTATTTCCTTCACAAGACTTACCAAATTCTAGTACTACACAGAGTATGGTTCTCAATTTACACGTCCCCTTTCAGTTGAAAGAAGCCTTGTAACCGCCTTAGCCAGCTGTGTGTTGACTGACTTTGGCGTTGACCGTGGAGCAGCTTATTTACTATTGAAATTTGAACACAAATATTCAAATGATTATAACTTTCTTCAAATATGACGAATTTTCAATCTGAAAGCAGATTTGGGAGTTTTGTGAAGAGCTCTTTCTAATCAGTATTGAAATTACAAAAATCCATCAGAAATAACAAATTTAGATAAAAATATTGTATAACACAGAGAGGCACCAAAATTTTATTTCAAAAGAATTCCAAAAGTTCAGAAAGTTCGAAAATTCCAAAAACTCGAAAGTTTCAAAAGAGCAAAAAGCTATTTGAAAAAGAATCCTTTTGAAATCCTCCGCGATATTTCGGTGTTTAACACCTTCTTCAGGCCTGAAATACATTGATTATAGTAGATGTAAATAATTTGGTGAACTACTATGCCCATATTGATACCCACAT